TTAGTAACAGTGACCTTGACATTGACCATGAACCCTGAAGCATAAACTCATCAGACATATTCTCATTCTTGACCTTTGAATCAACTTGAATGTTTGGAATGATAAGCTCTAAGCCTGTTTTACAATCCCTGTGTAATTATATGTATGTAGTTACAAATGTATCATGTTTGAAAATTGAATAAATACTATTTAAACTAACTTAAATTTTTATCTCGACTTCCGGGCAACCTTTTTTGTTTCCTAATGTCTTCCTTAAAAGTTGCATCTACCCACAAGGGTTTGTTACAAATGTCTAAAATACACGTATGCCATACTGATATGGGTCACAGCGCATAGACATTTGTAACAAACCCATGTAATCAGCTTGAACTTTAGGGTCAAACTTCAAAATATATACTTTACATTATTCAAAAGCGAAGTTTTAAAAGATATTCCAACCCTATTACTACAATATACTGTACTTATGATGGAAACACAATTTTAGTTCCTTTTTCTTAATCAATTAGCATAACTGCACAAATTTTCAACCATTTTTTTATTTTTTTTATTAGCTGTGTTGGAATATTTAAGCTGTGTGTTTGTCTCGAGAGTAATTAAAGTTGCATGTTTGTCTTCAGAAAGATTTGTCTGTTAGTCTTCAGAACAAAAGACGAAAATTTAAGCTGTGTGTATGTAAAAATATAGTAAATTCGAAACTAACGTAGCGTATCAATAACAAGTTATTGGAAGCTTTGAATCTGTAAACCCATATTTTCTACTCATTACAGTCAACACAAACAGTAACTAAACAGAATGTCTTTCTAGTCTGTCAGTTGTAAATTTAAGAAATAAACTAGTTTATTTAAGCACTGAACTGCTTTCAGTTGGCATTCAGAGGCAATATGAATGCCGACTGAAAGCACAAAGGCAAATTCAATGAAGCGTGCTTATACAGTAGGGTTATATAGTGGTGATGCCATACAATGATAAATATATAAAGAACTGGACTATTTGTGTGCATTTTTGATGTTCAAACGACTCATGCCATGTCGATTCTGAAATTTAATGTTTATTAAAACAGCCTTTTCAATTTTGGCAAAACTTTTCATCTTTCAACTAACTGTTTTCTTTCATTAGACCATCACTTCTATATACCATGCTACTGTACAGGCCATTTCCTACTGTACAAAAGGATTTGCCTGAAATTTAAACCATAAAAGTGAAATGTTGACACAAATTGTACTGTATATGATTAAATGTTTACATTTCAACAGGAGATAATAACTATACTATTTTCAGTCAGAATTTAACATCAAAAACAGTTGAAGTCAGACAGAACACAAATGTATGTGATATCTTGAACAAATGTTTTCATTTCAATTTAAATATATCATTGTAATTTTCTTTAACTAAAAAAAGGGATTTTCCAGTATGTAGTTGAAAGGCATTGTGACTTAACACAGCCTCATACTTGTCAACTTTGTGAAATTTCCATAGGGGAGATTATATGTGTTCAGAACTAAAACCATAAATAAATGTGGGTATTTACAACCTAGGGAAGAAATAACACTTTTAAATGGCATTGTTTGAGCTGTTCTGTCAGATGCAATCATCAGATCTTAGAAAGTAGGACTAGTTTAGCAAATTCACTGGCTGAAAATGCTAAATGTTAGGGTCCGAAATCGGGAGTCTCCCTCCTAAATAGGGAGAGTTGGCAAGTAGGTAGCCTTAGACAGATTAATAAGATATCAGAATTTGGTCATCCAATGACATCGTCTCTAGTGTATAAAGGGGAGGTAACTCACCATCCTCCGTATGTAAATACTGAGTAGAACACAGCCATGGCCAGGTTTCCTGGTTCTAGATTTTCTGCTGTATGTGGGAAAGCATTTTCCAAATTCTCTGTCTCACCTGCAAACAATCGTATAGAGTCATATAACTATAAATGTCAAGTTGAAGTTCCAATAAAAGTTCACTGGAAAGGTCAAATATTATAATGGTCAAACAGGTCAAACTGTTGTAAATGTCATACTATTGTGAAGGTCAAACAATTGTATCATCACACTTCTGGAAAGGTCAAATTATTAAGAAGTTCAAGCAAGTCAAACTATTTTAAAGGTCATACATGTACTGCTATAAAGACCACACAATTATAAGGTCAAACAATTGAAAAAGGTCAAACTATTATTAAGGTCACGCTATTGTAAAGGTCAAACTATTATCAAGGTCACACTATTGTAAAGGTCAAACTATTTCAAAGGTCACACAAATGTAAAGGTCAAACTATTATTAAGGTCACAAAATTGTAAAGGTCAAACTATAAGGTCACACAATTGTAAAGGTCAAAATATTAGTAAGGTCACACTTCTGTAAATGTTAAATCATTACAAGGTCACACTTATGCTGTTAATTTCACACTAATGTTAAAGTCATACATTGTAAATATCAACCTCTTGTAACTGAGAAACTGCTGTAAGGGTCTAATCATTGTAAAGGTCAAATCATTATAAAGGTCACACTATTCCTTCCTTATTTGATACATTTCCTTATTTTGAAAAGTAGTATTTGTAATATCTTTCCTTATTTGGGAAAATGAGAAATACATCTCCTTATTTGGTAATAAGTTATATATAACCTTATTCGGAAAATTAATAATATATTACCTTATTTGGTAATGACAAAAAGATGTTTACCTTGTATCAAGTGAACTGCTCCTCCAGTTATGATAATCAGTAGGGCAATAATCTTGGTGACTGACAAGAATGTCTGAACCTTAGTCACATACTTCATGTACACACAGTTGAGTGCTACCAGAGTCACTGAAACAAAAAACCAGATTCCTGCTCAGGCTGACGGTTGGAAATGTCATCAACTTGACATCATTAAAGACATATCCTTAACTTGACATCCTTTTAATCAATTTGTCAATATGACGTCATAACAATATGTTCTCAATTTAGTATTTAGCATTAAGTACATGTGACCTTACATCATTAAACATATGTTGTCAACATGTCATGATAACATCATTATAGATATGCTATCAACTGAATATCATATACATGTCGGCTTAATCTTATAGGTAAGTTGTCAACATCGTTATAGATATGTTGTCAACTTGACATCATTATAGATATGTTGACAACCTGACATCATTATAGATATGTTGACAACTTGACATTATTATATATATGTTGACAACTTGACATCATTATAGATATGTTGTCAACTTGACACCATTATAGATATGTTGACAACTTGACATCATCATAGATATGTTGACAACTTGACATCATTATAGATATGTTGTCAACTTGACATCATTATAGATATGTTGACAACTTGACATCATTATAGATATGTTGTCAACTTGACATCATTATAGATATGTTGACAACTTGACATCATTATAGATATGTTGTCAACCTGATATCATTATAGATATGATGACAACTTGACATCATTATAGATATGTTGTCAACTTGACATCATTATAGATATGTTGACAACTTGACATCATTAAATATATGTTGACAATCGACATCATTATATATATTTTGTCAACTTGACATCATTATAGATATGTTGTCAACTTGACATCATTAAAGATATGTTGACAACTTGACATCATTATAGATATGTTGACACAACTTGACATCATTATATACTAGTGTTGGGAATCGGTTGTTATTTTATAATCGATGATCGGCTATAATCGGTTCAAGTATTTCGATCAATTTTCGATTATAATCGATTAGCAAGGTTACCCAAATTATATGGGTGTTGCAATGTAAAATCAAGGGTTGACTTAGTATGTCCACCTGATACTAAACACCATTTTTTATACACTTTTAACTTTAGGCTTTAACTTGGCCGAACTACTTATGTGTAGGGCTTTACCTCATAACAAAGCATAAGTAGTGTTATTAGGTGGATGCCAAACACATATCAATAGAAAAGAACATGCAATGATTTCAACCGATTATAATCAATTATGGAATTCCATTATCGATTAATCGGAATCGGTTGTGTAACCGATTAGTTTTCGATTATAATCAATCATCGGGACAACACTATTATATACATTATCATAGATATGTTGTCAACTTGACATCATTATAGACATGTTGACAACTTGACATCATTATAGACATGTTGACAACTTGACATCATTATAGATATGTTGTCGACTTGACATCATTATTTATTATCATCACAGAGAACTTCAGTCGGTGGTTGAGTCTAGACTAGAAAGTTACAGGTTGGCAGTAAAAAGCTTTGGTTCAGTTTGGTTGGTTGGGTGGAGCAGTCAGAGGATAACGCACTTGCCTTTTGTCACAGGAAGGGAATTCCAATCTGACAGGGAAAGGGAGGTTATCATAACCCACTGTAGTACCAATTTTAGGTTTCATGATACCAAAACTTGCAAAGCAATACATTTTACATAAATTCACTGTTGCATTGGGTCAGATTGCAGTGACCACAGAAAGGATATCATTAGAAGACAGAAACTTAGCCATCTGAAGTTCTGTAGTCAAGATTAAACCTGTTAGACTTACCTAGAATCCAAGACGCTAGTAGTTTTATTGCTGCTTCTGATGGCCTGCACCCTAGAATCGGCTGGATGGTATACAGTGAGGCAATATATGCGACAAATGCCCAAAATGGACAACAAATCATTATGATATACCCGAACATAATCATAAATCCAGGAAGATCGCCAAAGACTTTGAGAACATAGGCATAACCGCCACCAGCCTTGGGGTAGATGGTTCCCATCTCGGTAAAACATAGACAGACTCCCATGTTTATTAGTCCGCCAATACACCAGATCAACAGAGAGATGGCGACAGACTCTGTATATCGAAAAATGGCCGTCGGTGTGATGAAAATGGAGATATGACCCGTCATAGATATCAGGATAGTTGTACAGTGAAGAAAACTGATAGACTTCTTCAGCCTTACGTCGCCCACTTCATTCACAACAACCGTACCAGTTCTACTTTCACTTTCACCCTGCTCCATCTTCAGACCAGTCGAGGCAGATTATAACAATTGTTAATTACTCGTCCACTAGCCCTTCGTCGTGCAATTGATCACAGCGTTCAACAAGCTTAAAATATACATGAAATAAGAAGCATATCTGAAGATAGGCCTACTGTACATGTGGTCGGTTAATTACGCAACAGATTTCGAAAAAGCTAGTGTATATTGGCCTAGTTTGACGGACCATATCATATGTAGCATTGCCTTACGTAGAGTGTCCGACCTGACCTTGGTGTATTCATATAATGATGTAGTGTCCAGGTCACACAGGTCAGTAAACCAGACATTTTACACAGAAAAGCTGCGGCCGTTGATCATGATCGGCCGTCGTCTACACCCGTCCGCAGTTCTTTACACGACACGGTAGCTTTTATTTGTCTCTAATGTTTAGCATCGAAAGAAGGTAAACTGAAAGAGGTTCCGAAAATTTATTAAAGATGCTAGTACGTCAAATTTTCAAGTGTCATAATTTAAAGTGAAGGGACAAGCGTTGTCATATTATACTTACTCTAAGTCTCATAGTGTTTAATAGTAAGGTGTCAAATGTTATCCTAGGTTTATAGATTAATGGTGGGGAGGCCATATTTGTCATATCGTCAGATTATAATAATATCATATATGTATAGGCCTATAGTGAGGTCATTTTTGTCGCACTATAAGATAAATTGATAAAGTTTGAAAGTGAGGTGACCGTTTATGTAACACT